CCTCCTCCTCCTCCCCTTCTCCTCCTCTTGTCCGCAGAATTTTTAAACATGTGTGGGGAGGCCGAGTGCAGGGGCTCGCACCTGTAACCCCAGCACTTTGGGAGGCCGAGGCGGGAGGATCACCTGAGGTCGGGAGTTCGAGAGCAGCTTGGCCAACATGGAGAAACCCAGTCTCTACTAAAAATACAAAAAAAGTAGCCAGGAGTGCTGGCGGGTACCTGTCATCCCGGCTACATGGGAGGCTGAGGCAGGAGAATCACTTGAACCTGGAACGTGGAGGTTGCCGTGAGCCATGATCGCACCACTCCACTCCAGCCTGGGTAACAATTGTGAAACTCCATCTCAAAATAAATGCAGGTGGATCACCTGAGGTCAGGAGTTCGAGACCAGCCTGGCCAACCTGGGGAAACCCTGTTCCTACTGAAAAATACGAAATCAGCCAGGTGTGGTGGTGCATGCCTGTAATCCCAGCTACTCGGGAGGTTGAGGCAAGAGAATTGTTTGAACCAGGCAGATGGAGGTTGCAGTGAGCTGAGATCACACCACCGCACTCCAGCCTGAGCGACAGAGTGAGACTTGGTCTGAAAATAAATAGATAAATAAATAAAGAATTAGATAGATAAATTGATAGATAAATTGATAAATGGATAGATAGAAGGATGATAGATAGATAGATACATAGATAAATAGATAGCTACATAGATAGATAAACAGATAAACAGTTAGATATATAGATACTTAGGTAGAAACATACATAGATGGATAGACAGATAGATGGATAGATAGGTAGATAGATAGATGGATAGACAGATAGATAGATAGATAGATGATAGATACATAGATAGATAGATGAATAGATGGATAGATACATAGATGAATAGATAGATGACAGATAGATGGATAGATGGATGATTGACAGATAGATAGATGAATTGATAGATGGATAGATAGATGGCTTCATGGATAGACGGATGGATGGAAAGATGGATAGATAGATGGATAGATACATGGATGGATAGATGGATGAATGGATGGATGGACCGATGGATGAATGGATGGATGGATAGATGGATGAATGGATGGATGGATAGATGGATGGGTGGATGCATAGATACATTGATGGATAGATGGATGGATGGGTAGATAGATGGATGGATAGATGGATGAATGGATGGATGGATGGATGGATGGATA